AATGATCGCAAAATAATAATAGGAAACTAAACTGATTGGGATCATTTTAAAGCTACATTCCTGGAATTCAGATGTAAGAAAACAGAACTTGGATATGCTAATGTCTGTCAGAGCTTTTAATTTTAGAAAATTGCAAGCTTAAAAAATAGCTGTGGAACACTTCCATAAATTTCATTTTAAAGCTGGCTGTTCATTGAATGGATTTATAACATGACCAATGTAACTCAAAGGAGTGCAATACTGCCTCCTTCAGGTGCTCTCAACCACAACATGGAATATTAACAGATGCCAGCTACACTGCTCTACTGATGTCTCTACCTAGAAACCACTTTATTTGCATTGATAATTTGCTGTAGTACATTCAAAATTTATAACTATACTAACAGCAGCATTAAGGTTTTTTCTTAAAAAAAAACTGAATTGTTTCCATGGATAGATATCATTAGTTAGTCTATGTAATTCAGCAGAAGAAAGCATTAAAATAATACTGACAGTATATCTTGCTGGGTAATATTGGCATTCACTGATGTTTAATCTTAAATCCCTGCTTTGAGGCTTTAAATGCAGGGTTTAGGTTAATAAAAAGCCAAGCTAACTTAAAGCACATGATTGTATAATAGAAGCACTTTCTGTCTGGATAAGGTTACAACTGTGGACTTAAAATGTCCTTTATTTCTCCAAATCTTTTCTTTCAGTTGAGGATCAAAATTAATTAAAAACTTGTACTTGGTATGAATTAAATACTTGCAAAATGCAGCTTCATTAAGAAAAATACCTACCACAGCAGCCATCTAAATGACTCAAAAACAGGCCATCCCAAACTTACAAAATCACAGGCCTTGATATTCACCATACAGTGGAAATCTTTGCTGCTGTGAAAATGCCAGAATTTGTTCAGAGTCACAAGTTCCAAGCCCAATTTCTTTCATTTTCGCAGAGCCAGCTTTAGGGGTGGGCTGTGGTTCTTGGAGAAATCTAATCATTTAAATGAGCAGCTGCTTTTACAGAAATGAGATTTTGGCATCCCTGGTGTCTCATACCCTAAGGATGGAGATTAGACCAGATAAAAGCAGGTTTATTCTCAATGCAATTAATTTAGTTCAGGATATCAGTTTGGAGAGCTGAGGTATCTCTGTGGGTATGATCTTAGGTCTTCGTCGGGTGGTGAAATGGCATCTTGTATCCTTTGAGGGTGGGGTTAGGCGTCCTTTGGGAGGGTCAGCCCCTTGGGATGATTCACTGTGGAGAAGACTGACCCAGTGACAGTACTGGAATGGCAATATAGTTCCAAGTCAAGATAGTGTATGGTTGGAAGTGAATTTTCAGCTGGTGGTGTGCCATTTATCTGCCCTTATCCTTCCAGGCAGCAGAGGTGGCCTGTTTGGAGGTGATGTCTAAGGTGCCTTGGCGTGCTGTGTCTTGTAGATGATACACACTGCTGCCACTGCATTTTTGCAGTGGAGAAAATAAGTGTTGAAGGTGTTAGATTGGGTGCCAGTCAAGCAGACTGCTTTGTCTTTCATGGTGTTAAGCTTCTGGAGTGTTATTGGAGCTGCACTCATCCAGGATAGTCAATGAATTGGCAATGGTAGGTGAAGAGGTAAAGATTGATGGATAGAAGCAGGCTTTTTGGATAGTCAGAGACTTTTTCCCAGGGCGGAAATGACTATTAAAAGGGGGCATAATTTTAAGGCAATTGGAGGAAGGTATAGGGGAGATGTCAGAGGTAGATTCTTCACACAGAGAGTGGTGGGTGTGTGGAAAGCACTGCTGGCAGTGGGAGTGGAGTCAGATACTTTAGAGACTTTTAAGCAACTCTTGGATAGGCACATGGAGGATAGCAAAATGTAGGATATATAGGGTAGATTGATCTTAGTAGGATAATAGGTCGGCACGACATCGTGGGCCAAACAGCCTGTAATGTGCTGTACTGTTCTATGTTCACTAAGTTGGCACAAGGTAATGAGGGGCAATGAAGGTAGGTAGAGGGCATTAGGTTGCATCGGTTGATCTGTGGAATGTGTGGGAATGAGGGCATTTGAAGTTAAGTACTGGAGGAACATTTTAAGATTTCTTGCCGTTTAGATAGGTAAGATAACACTGTGGATCAGGCCCACAGCAACTTTGATGGGAGTACTATATCCTTTGGGAGGGGTAATGCACACTTTAAGATTGTGAAAAGTCATTTTATGCTTGTGTGTAAAAACCACATAAGCTGTGATTTGCAAAGTTGTCAAGAGCTTTCCAAAGAAAACATGCAATTATTAAAGAAGTGCATGCCATTTCAGATTGCCTAGTTATATAGGATTTGCACTGTGTGACTGATTTCCCAAACATTCGTTTTCATTATCGGGTGCTGATTAATGGACAGTTGCAGCTGCTTATTGTATTTGGTGACAATTTAAGCACTGGAGTAAGATGTTTATTGACATAAGGTTTAACCTCTTAATTGACAAATTTGTTTTAATCAGGGATTTGTTCTGTAATTTCACTTTGTTAGGTGATTGTTTTGTATCAAGTTAGGGGTGTTTTGTCAACAATGACACAACCAATAGACTGGTAACATTTTCCATCACAATGCCTCCTGAAAAATACCCATGCTGATAGCAGGTGCATTGGCATGAATAAAGAAGCACAAAGAATGGAGGGTGGGAAATATCTGGGGAGGCAATGGCCACGCAATATTATCACTAGATTATTAATCCAGAAACTGAGATGACATTTTGGGACCCATGACAGATGGTGGCATGTAAATTCAATAAAAATCTGGAATTAAGGGTCCAATGGTGATTATGAACCATTGTTGATTGTCCGAAAAACCCATCTGGTTCACTAATGTCCTTTAGGGAAGGAAATCAGTCATCCTTACCTGGTCTGGCTTTAATGTGACTCCAGACCCACAGCAATGTGATTGAGTCTTAACTGCACTCTGGGCAATCAGGGATGGGCATTAAGTGTTGGGCCAGCCAGAGGTCAAATCCTGTAAGTGAATCAAAAAAATAACTGGGACTGAGTTGACATGGGCAATATAAAGGGCTCGGGGATTATTACAGGCATATGGAGGATGAGGGGCTTTGGGAGATGGTTAGAGGGTGGTACAGATGGTTTAAGCTGCGATGGGGATCAGCATGGGACATAGAGAATCTGACAGGAAATCAGGTTAGTTAGATGGACACAGAGGGACATAGCTGGTTTGAGGGGCCTTGGGGGTGGATGAAGAGGCATAGAGACTATAACATACAATAGAGGATGGGTAGACAGTGGTAGTTGCTACAGGGTGCATGAGTAGATGGGCATGGGGCCCTAAAGGGGTATGAGGGATCATGGGGGCTAGGTACAGGGTTATTGGTTGGCAGGGTTATGAGGGGCCGTGAGGAATGAGTGCAAGGGCATACATTGGCATCAGGAATAAAAGGAGTCACAGGGGATGTCTGCAGGGGCATTGGGTTGACATAGGCGTATGAGTGAACATGCATAGGGAAAATGATGGGCTATGGAGATAGCTATGTGCAAATGAGGAGGCCAGATCAGAGTGGGTGAACTATACTGTCATTTCTTCACAGAGTCTGGGTCAAAATCCTGGAATCACCTTCCTAACACCACTGATGATGTACCCACTGTAGTCATTCAAGAATTTGGCTCACCATCATCTTCTTAAGACCAACCAGGGATGGACAAGAAATGCTGACCTATAGCCACATGAACAATTCCATCAACTTCTCTATATCCATTTGAAGTTCTAAACTATCATCCACACAGTTGACAATGTTTCCAAGTTACATATCAACCGTGAACTTCGAAATTTTGCCTGTACACAAACGAATAGGTCATTAACATGCATCAGGAAGAGCAGATAGCATCAGCAACGACTCCCTTAGGAACTCTTTCATAAACCTTCTGCCAGTCCAAAAACATCCATTAATCACAACTATCTGCTTCTTGTCACTCAAACAATTTTGTATCCATGCTGCATGAAATTGTAACAAAACAAGTTAACTCTTATTTTAAAATGCACTACTACAATGGTAGCTTCATTTTATTCTTGAGACGCAATAGTTAGTTGATAATCTAAGTAGCATCGTTACAGGACTTTTTTTTATTGTTTTGCTGTTATTAAATGTTGTCATGTGTATTCACAGAAATCAGCTTCATGCAGCAGTAATCCAAGTAATGTGGGCAAGCCACCATGAATTCATATTGGTAGGTCAAGTTAAATTATCTTGAAAGGTGAGACAATGAACTTCACGCATTGGCGTACTCTGGATTTCCAGGTTAAGGGTGTTAGCATGACATGCTATACACATAATGTTTTCAAAAGGAACTTTTATATAACTTGAAAATGACTCTTGCAGTTCTTAACAGTATAGGCTGATGTGAACCAAATAACATTTATTCCAGTGAATGGTTATACAACTAGACAATTAAAAATGCAATGTTTTCTTGCATTTGTTCTATCTGATTATCTTTGACCAGTTTTGTACAAAAGTCTTCACTCCACGTAACTTTGAGTACCTTCATCTGACTGGAGTCTAGCTAATTTGCAATAGGATTAATCAAATAAAACTTTATACTTCTTTTGGCCAGAGATAATGTCAAATATCCTTGTGTTGCTACACTGCAACAACAGCTCATCACCATTCAAGATAAGAGTGGTTTGATGGTCTCTTCCTTCACTGCGCTGCAGAACTCAGAATCCATAGTCTGCAGCAAGTTGGATATATATGCAAGAGAAAGATCACGCATAAGCGCATGATCAGATAAGAAAACATAAATCACTTTGATTAAGGAAAAGTAGAACATTATCAATCACTAAAATACCATAATACTGCTAGGAAAACGGAATAATCTGTAGCATTTGCCTGCCACAGAATCGCAGTCTACACACCCCAAATTAGTTTAACCAAATACTTACTGCCTAATTCAATACAAAAAATAAATTATGATATGAACTGTACACCGTATCATGTCTGTTCTTTACTTATCTGAAAATGTGCACTAACCTCCATCGGAGACAGCCGCTGTCTGTAAGAAAGGAGAGAAGCATGGGTGAGTACATTTCATTATAATGATGCAAAACATTTTCACTGCTGTTTTTGTGAGAATCTATATGTCCATGGTGAATTTAAGCACCTTCTGAAACTGATAATTTCACTCAAGTTGAAATGGAAAGATGAACCTCGCCTGAAAGAGCCAAGATGCACTTTTTCCAGCAGCTAGTTAACTCCTCAAATTGGCACTTTTTAACAGATTAAAACAGGGCGAGGGAGAGGTTACATAATCCCACAAAAGAAAAATAATTCATCTGAACAAGTGCCAGAATAAAGAGAAATATTTCCAATGACTTTAAAGTTCCGCAGCCACTATTACCATTAGAGACAATGAGTTGGTCAATAGGCCAGGTACCAATTTAGAAAGTTTCTTTTATTCCCACTAACTTGCTCCATGAAGTGCTGTTATAAAGAAAACCACAGCCAGATCAGGAGAAGAATTCACATCTGAAGGGAATGAAGCACAGAGTACATCCATACATACAAACGTTACTGACATTACAGGAATGTATTTCCTCAGAGCTTGTCCCATTGGCGTCAGAAGATGTCAGGTTTTCTGCAGAACATCTCAAGTTATGGGAACAGAGTGGTATAAGCCCTTAGACAATTCACGCCCTTGACACTTCCTTTAATATTGGTACAAACCAATGCTAGAGAATTACTAAACATGTTAATTAAACAGACTTCAAAGTCACAAGCAGTGTTGTAAAGCAAAAACCGGCTAAACTCCTGGTTTAAAAGAACCTGTTTTTCCTGGTATTGCACAAATTTAGTCCTTATGCTGCCCCACCTCTGGTTTCCATACAATGAGCAGATCTTACAATATTTTGGAGTACTGTCGTACATTTAAAGTCTGCTTAGGTTTACTTATGGAAAGAAAAACACAGGAACCTTCAAAAGTTCAACAGAAACATAACTTACACAAGTGTATATTGTGCACTCAAATCTTACACATTAAATTACTTGAATTGTTTAACAATTTTTAAATACACAACATACAATACAGAAGAGGTTTACTAATGAATTATTCCAGGCCTCACTGAAAGTGAATGATGCATTGTATAAACTTTGAGACTGTTCTACATGATCACAATCCATAAAACCATTTAGTTTTAAATATGTGAAGTATTATATAATCAACTGAATTAAGGGCGGGTCCAGTTGACAACATTATATTTTGCTCCTTTCTCAGACCTTTTTACAAAAGTTAAGTAGTAGTTTATGGGCTGAATTTTCCATATTATGGAGGGGTTATGGAGATAGAAAGGAAACTGGCTGGTCAGCTCACTCCAACTCCCATCATCTCAGATCATCAAATCAAGCATCAAGTGGACAATCAGTGGCTAAGTGGCAGAAAATAGCCACTTAGCAGTGTAAAGTAGAGACTCCAATCAGGAGTCTAAGTCAGGACTTCAAGTAGCAGAGAGGTTATGCCATTAACACAAAGTCAGTTACGGATATAAATTTAAAAACCCCATGTCCTGCTGTCTTAATTTTTATTGCTTATGGAAGGTTGCAATCAAGTAAAAAGGTTTTAAATAAACAGAATCTGCTGCTACAGTCAGACACGGTCATAGTAGCAGGCCTTCTCTTCCGCCCTTGTGCCGCTTTGACGCAACTGCCTTAAAACTCTCCCAAACCAATTCACGCCAATGCCACATTAATGTAGCAGACAAAATTGCAGTTGATTGGGTCATTAATGAACTAAGGGGGTGGAACAGGGAGAGTTGAGGGTGGGGTTGAGGTGTTGGTGGGATGAGGGTTTAGAACATAGAACATAGAACAGTACAGCACAGTACAGGCTCTTCGGCCCTCGATGTTGTGCCAAACTTTTACCTGAAACCTAAGGTCTACCTAACCTCCACCGCTACCTTATACTATCATCCATAAGCCTATCTAATAGCCGCTTAAATGCCCCTAATGAGGCCGACTCCACTACCCTCTCCAGCAATGCATTCCACGTCCCTACCACTCTCTGAGTAAAGAACCTACCTCTGACGTCTCCCCGATATCTACCTCCTTTCACTTTAAAACTATGTCTCCTCGTAAAAGCTACCTCCATCCTAGGAAAAAGTCTCTGGCTGTCTATCTATACCTTTGATCATTTTGCACACCTCTATCAAGTCACCTCTCATCCTTCATCGTTCTAAAGAGAAAAGCCCTAGCTCTCTCAACCTTTCCTTGTAAGACCTTCCCTCCATTCCAGGCAACATCCTGGTTTGAACTGCTTTGTGGCAACAAAGAAAAACACCTTCACCTACAGTGTTTACACTGCACCTGGCCCCCTGCAACAATAGGTCAAACTCTTTTGGGGTACTCAGTTAGTGCCACTTGATTTGAAATGAAAAACATTTGTGATTTTTCAAGTCACTGTAATAGCTAGTTCCACAACTGAAGTGGTTTTCCTCAGGTGGATTCCTGAAAATACAAATAAAGCAGCACAAGATTTCTTTTTTGTAAAAATGTGTACACAATGCACGAGAAGATTCCATACAAAAAGGGTAGATTAACTTATATCCGATGAAAAAACTTCAGAAATGTAAGTTTGAAAACAAATATCTAACTGCTTTGATGAAAAGAAACACAGAATGCTAATTTTCTCTGCTAATTACAAATGAACTTAATAAACAATATGAATATGCAGTTGAATGAATAATCACTAGTACATTATAATTATTTTCACTAAGTCGGAAGTCGAATCCCAACCGTACACAACCACATAATTTCAAAAAGACACTTACTCGTGATTACCATTTATCAACCAAGTAGCAATTACTAGCTCTCAATTTCACAGCAAATAAGAAAATGCTGACAGACCAGGAGTCAACATTCAAAGTAGGAATGTGAAGATTTTTGGAAAGAGGAACTTGATGGAACAATTCTGTTTTAAAAATCATAAACCAGCGAAGCATCAATGAATATGCACATGCATGGGTAATAAATTCTATATACAAGCCCTGTGTAGGGAAATCAAACAATTCATGCAGCTCCTCTAAAGTAAATTATGCAATTGCTGGTTACTACCTGAATAGCTTTGATTTGTGTAGTGCTCCTTATGCGAGAGGTTTGTGTGGCATTTTACAGGACAGGGGTGTGTTGGGGAAGTGCAGAGTTGTTTGAGGAAGAATACACTGTGCGCAAAGTTATGCACTTCTAAATGTACGGTTTAAAGATGTTTTTGATGGGAGTGAGAGAAGTAGCAAGGCAAGGTAGGTCAGGAAGACATTGCAGAAGGTAGAAGCCAATAAATGAAGTAAAAAAGATAAAGGACAAGGGACAACTCAGAATTAGATGTAAGGAGCATGTTGGGAATAACAACTGATTTCTCAAAGGGGTGACAATGGGATTTGCCAATGAAGAATGTGATTAAATCAATTCATTAGGGAACAGTGTGATGGGTGGGTGGAACAACAATTAAGTAACAGGGCACTGAGATCAGGCCATGTTTATGAATGGGGAGAATTTGAAGTTGAGTGAAGTGTGTCTGAGAAAACAACCTTCTGACTGATGATTTGAAAAGTTAAATCACTTCCTCCAAGTCTACGACAACCAAGCTAAAATCACCTGTCTCTCCCCTGTAAAATGTTCATAAAAAGATTTTGCAGCCTGTGGAGATAAATGATACAATGAAAGGTGTTCTTATGATCCCAAAACCCTTCACCAATGTGCTATGGCAAGATTTAATAACTTCTGAGAATTCTTTAATCACTACAAAACCTGATCATAAATTCTGAGAAAAATCACATGAAACAATAACGATCATATCCCACAAAACTGGCAACTCTTATTTTCAGATTGGAGGCCCATGACCAGCAGCATGCCTCAAGGATCGGTGCTGGATCCACTGTTTTTCGCCATTTATACAAATGTTTTGGATGTAAATATAGGAGGTATGGTTAGTAAGTTTGTGATGACACCAAAATGGGTGATGTAATTGATGGCGAAGAAGGTTATCTCAGTACAACAGGACATTAATCAGATGGGCTGAGGAGTGGCAGATGGAGTTTAATTTCGATAAATGTGAGGTGTTGCATTTTGGTAGGGCAAACCAGGGTAGGACTTATACATGTACGTATACATACATACAACTCAACTTCAGCATACAGGCATACCTGCTCAAATATCTCCGCATGTTCACAATCCTTGTACAGACCAATATGAATTTCACAATGATTGACAGAAAGAATCATCCAACTAAATTTCAGATTTTAAAACTTTTATTATAATAAACAAGCTAAAATCAACATTGACTAAACTGATACATGCTATTACTAAACTATAGAAAATGTATTTCACTTTTGTTGTACAAGGTAATGATTCTGAAAGTCTTATTGGAAACTACATTAGGCTCTACCAAATCTGATGATGTCACATAGTCTGGGTGAAGAGGAGCTTCTCTCAAGATCCCAATAGGACATGTCATCCCTGGTTCCTGAGAGTCTTAATACTTATATCTTACTAGTGAATGTAACTTGTACCTATTGTTATAGTGCAAGTAACTACACCTTGTTGTTACGACAAGTGCCTCTTGCTAAGTTTTTCTATTATTTCATCCCCTACTACTTTAACCAAACAGACCCTTGGAGATAGAACAGGAAGGAGGATTTAGGGCTTTTGTGGCGCAGTGGTAGTATCCCTATTTCTAGGGACAGCCAACTTTCAAGACCCACCTGCTCCAGAGGTGTATCATAATGTGTCTGAACAGTGTGATTATTCACACACAGACACGTCTTGTTAATGCCCACTCACTTTGTTCTCAGCAAAGCAGGCCCATTTTCTCTCCTTCACATCTTCATTTTAGATCTTAATCGCTCCTTTTGAATCATTAGCATTCCCTTTGTCTTTTGCTCTGGCTGTTCTCATCATTTGTTTCACTTGTGCCTCCTCCCCTTCTAACATCAGCATCAAAGATGCAGTCACAACAAACTGGAAGCTTTAATTCCATTTCTCTCTCCCCACAGACTGCCAGATCCG